GCAAATTACTATAAAATTTATATGTAATAATTGGATTTTTAGCAAATTTATTTGATTTTAGGGGTAGCAAAAACCCCTAAATTTATACAAATTAGTTATAACCTATATTGAAAATGTTTGGGGTCTTGGGTTAGGTAAAATTGCAAGAGGAGCATTTTTACTTAGTTATATAACAAGAAATTATCCTAGTAAAATTTTGAGATAATGATTAGTTAGAGTTAGGGTTAGAGTTAGGGTTAGGGTTTAGATTAGGGTTAGATAAAATTGTATAATGATCATTTTTTATTAGTCACACAACAGGGTTACCTTAGTAAAATTTTGAAATATAGCTAGGGTGCACTATAATACAGGTGTACCATTTTTTAAAATCCTTAAAAAAGTTATTTACAAATTAAAGAATTACGATAAACTTAGAATTCGTTGATTCTTAAATTAGTTTAAAAAATCCTAAGAAGAGATATTTTTTTATTAAAAGAAGTATTATACCAAATTGGGTATAATAATATAATCGAATTTAAAAATAAGTTAATATTATTAGTAAAATATATAAACATAATCTTACGTAAGTTATTATGCTTCGAAAACTTCTGCAAGAATTACAAATGACAAGGCATATTTTGAAATAACTTTTTTTGTAATATTACACAATTTATTTCGTAATATTTTGCAATTTATTTTCATAATATTACGCAATTTATTTCGAAATATTTAGAAATATTTTGAAAAATTTTGAAAGTTTTCGAAATATTTTAAAAAATTTTGAAAGTTTTCAAAATATTTTAAATATTTTAAAAATATTTCAGAAGGTTTCGAAATATTTTGAATAACTTCAAAAGTTTTCAAAAATCATTTCAAAATATTTCGAAATATTTCGAAATAAATTGTGTAATATTTTAAATTTTTATATATGAAATTATTCGAAAAATATACTATATACTGCAAATTTTGCAAATATCGGCAATTTAATACATAAAACTATATTTATTTATTGGATAAATTTATTTGTTGCTCCCTGTTACATAATACTTTTGTCACAGGTTACATGATATAATACTAACCACTAACCACTAAATCCTAACCCTAACTAACTACTAAACCCAATTCCAATACTAATTGCTAAACTCTAACTCTAACTAACAACTAAACTAATTCTAATACTATTGCTAAACCTAATCTTAACTACTAAATCTAACTGCAAAGCACCATTGTGCAATGAATCCAATAATTACAACCCGGCACCGAAAAGACTCCTAAAAATGATACTGAAAAAGATGCTATAAAACCCAACGAATTAAAATAACAGAACCAATAATAAAAGAAGTAAAGAACCTCAAAAGAGCACCAAAAACGGTGAAACAAAACCTACCAAAAGTGGCAAAACAAAATTAAATATCCAACAAATTAAACCGATAGAACCAATGATAAAAAGTAAAACCTCAAAAAAACACCAAAAGTGACAAAACGAAACCTACTAAAAGCTATGCAACAAAATGTGCTACAAAACCCGATGAATTAAGATGACAGAACCGACAATAAAAGAAGTAAAGAACTCAAAAGAACACTGAAAGCAACAAAATGAAACCTACCAAAAGCTATGCAACAAAGCCCACCAAATACAAGAGTATATAGTCAAAACTCTAAAGACGACTCAGCAACATCAAAAAATCAAAAAAAAATCTATAGCACATAACCAAAAAATGAAAACTTACCAACGACAATATGGAAAACCACCTAGAGCTAACAATACCGAAGCCATGAAATCAAAAATATGAAACTCTAGCAATAAACGAAAAAGGCACTACCGAAATTGACGAGATCACACTAACAAAGACAAACAAACGATAACTCCAGTAACAAAAACACCAAAAATGACAACAATTACTTAAAAAAAAATAAATAAAAGATTAGTAACACACTACAGACAAGCAAAAGTACTATTAGCCATAGTGTCAAACATAATAGCAAACCTTGAATTGACAGCTCTAGGAATAGTAACGGCCAGTAAGATGATGAAATTTCAAGAACAGAATCACCAGTAACAGCGACAATGATAATAGCAATTCCAGAAACAACGACACCAACGTGACTTACTATCTATAAAATCTAAAAAAAAAAAAAAGTAAATACACAAAAAAAAAAGAAAACAAGAAAACAGTAAGTGCTCTAACAATGATAATCAACATCATATTTAAATTTAACTGTGATACAACACAAATATTTATTTTTAGAATACATAATAATAACAATTAGAAAACTTTGTTTATCCAAAACCAACTAATTTCAAATTAATAATAAACCTGTAAGTAAAATTTTATTTGTTAATCATTATGCCGATCTTAAAGATTTGGCACTGGGGTCATTGGATATTACAAATAAATATTTACTACATAAGCTATATAATAAATGATTATTTGTCATATTCTATAATTGGTCACATCCTAGTGCTAAATCGTTAGAATCAGCATAGTGATTAATGAATAAAATTTTACTTTCAGGTTTTCCCTGTGTATTACTCAAATCATGTTTTCAATGCATAAACTGTATAAATAAAAGCCAAAAACGGAAACATGAGAATTGAATTTTAAAGGATATTCAGCAAAAAGAAAATACCATAAATTTGAAGAATTTGAATATATAGTTTATGAAAAACTTATGGATTTTGAAGGAGAAAGCAATATGCTTATAGATCTTGAAATTGTTGTGATATTTCCCAAATAGCTAATGAATATGGATTAAAAAAAATTTTTCTAAATCTAATATTATATTAATTCAGGTACAACAAAACTCTCAATATCTTTTGATTACAAAAGCTAAAGAAACTTTATGGAAAAATATTCAAACATTAACCTTAATTGATTATATACAAGTCAAACTTAACGATTGATTTGGTAAATTTAGAAAACCAGAATATAGATAATGAGGAATCGAGTACTAATAGTAGTGAATCCAAATCTGAAATTTTAAGAAAGTACAAAAAAACTCTTCATGAAGTATAAAAGATTTTTTTTTTTTATCATTATATTTCTGTGTTTAAATAAATGTATTTATTAATTTTATGTTTTAGACGCTTGATTGTCTTGAAAAGTCCAATAATCTTCTCAAAAAAAAAATAGCTTCAAAGTATTAAATCGAACTTTAAACCTATTCAAAAAATAGTAGATGATATTAAAGATTTCGAACGAGCAAAAAAGCTTCTAAAAACTTGAAGTGGACGTAACAAAAACACCTTTTATTGGTAGTATTAAATTCAAATTTAAAGCTTTATACGTGTAACAAACAAATTTAAAGCTTTATATATGTATTAAACAAAATTTAAAGCTTTATACATATATTAAATAAAATTTGAAGCTTTATATGTGTATTAAATAAAATTTGAATCTGGATGTAAATGCACTTTGTACATTCGAATCGAATATATTTAACTTAGAACTTGGATAATTAAATCTAATAAGTTGAATAAAATATAAAAAAAACTTCAATTATTTCTTCAAAAAATCTTGTGATCTTGTGATTCGGTTATTTTTGTTTGCAGATTAAAATTTAAAAAGCAATTATGTGGTGGTAATACTAGGTGCATTCTGAAAAAATAATTTAACCAGGTCAGCCAATATAGATGTCTCAGAAATTATGAAAACAGTTGTAAATAAATAAAATCAAGTACTGTAATACCAATTTGGGACCTGTACAAATTGTAAACTAGATTTAAAACCCAGGTTGATAGGTCATAGACCTTATTTGCATTTATGTAAAATATTTCAAAATATTTCAAAATATTTTGTACAATGTAAAAGCTATAATATTATGTAAACAATTTCAAAATATTTCAAAATATTTTATGTAATATTTCATAATTTTGATATTTCGCAATATTTCAAAATTTTTATGTAATATTACAGCTTTTTTACAGTTTGTAAATTATTTCGAAATATTTTGCCTTTATAAATTTGCTGATAATATTCTATTATACTTTAAAGTTAATTTTTAATTTTAAAGATTTAAGCAACGAAATTATTATATAATGCAAAATTACAAACGCATATACTAATGATTTTAAGTTAAATTAATTCTAATATACATAGAGATATGTTGCACTTAAAATAATTCGTATTTGTGCACAAATTAAAGAACTATTAAGAACATAGTTACAAAGATTATTCATTTTTGAAATGATTATAAAGTGATATTTTTATTATTATATCGAATCTAATACAAATATAATTAAAAGATAAGTTAAATATTTATTATACATTAAGTTTAATTTTTATTTTTAAAAAAAAAAAAATGTATATAGCTAAAATATTTAATTAAACAAAAGTAATTAACCTTAAGTTTATTAAGATTTTAAACAAATATATTTTATTAGATATTGAATATTTATTTAAACTATTATGTTAAATAGTTAAAAGATTCAAAATATATTTGTTTCGATTATATGAAATATAATTCTGGAAGAATTATTTGAATTAAAAGAGTAATATATAAGAATAATTTTTTTTTAATTTTTTTCGAAATATGGTTAAGTTATTAATAAGATCTTATTTTTAATCTATCTCAAATCTAGGTAAGCCTTGGCCACTCTGGTAGGTTTAGGCTGCAAATAAAAACTAGACTTGTCTATTCGACTTTTTTAGTTAGTCTGAGTTCTTATTCTTAGGACTTAAGATATAAAACCTTTTCCAATTATGTAAAAAGTTTTCATTAAGTTTAATAAAGATAAGAGCATGGTCTCACCTTTAACATTAAAAAAAAAAAAAATTAATAAGATTTTAGAGATTTGACTCGATAGTCAAGATAGGAGTTTAAATTTTTGTTACTAATTAGAAGAAAACTTAGAAGAAAAGAAAAAACTTCAAGATGAAATTTAGTAGTAGATAAATGATATAACCAGCAAGACAAAGAAAATTTATTAAGAAAATTTATACAAAATATTTATATTATTGCATACTTCTACTACTTTCACCAATTTTATCATCTAACACTATCGGAAAACTACTACTTTCCTCTTCACTTGCTAACGCCTCTTCTAATATAACCTCATATTTTTTTAACTCCTTATCTAACCAAACTTCATAATCTTCTTTTTTTTCTTCTTTTTCTTCCTCTTCATCTTTTTCTTCATCTTCTTCACCAAACTCTTCTATATCATACCTTTCTCTTATTCTCTATCTCTCTCCACCTCTCTCTTTTCTCACATCTATTGTATCTAACACCTTAATTATATCATTTCTCAATATATTATATTCTAACTCAAATTCTTTCTTCACCGCATTTAATATCTCATATTTTTTTTGTTCATCTTTTAACATTCCTTTTAATATCTCCAATCTAAATTCTCCTAATTTCATTACTTCTTCTAATGTCTTTTCCAATCTTCTATTCTTTTCTTTTAACTACAACATCTTATTCTTTTCTACTTTCTTCGAAACTCACTTATTCCACCTATTATATTTAATTATTTTTAGTATTTTATTATATTAAATTATAGTATTTAAATTTTTGTTATTATTATTTTTACTATTCTTTTTCTATATTCTCCATATTTTCAATATTTTCAACATCTTTAACATCTTCGATTACTTCTCTTTGCTTACCCTTATCTAAATTCTTACTATTATATAGAAATTATATTAGTTATTATTAATTTATTTAATTATTAATTTATTTAATTATTATATTCTTACTTTTGATGATTGGGATATCGATTATTGTTTCCTTTTTGGCTACAAAGCATTTTTAAAAGTGTTTTGTTAATTTTGTTTTTAGTTTTAATTTTTAGATCAAAAATAATATTACAAAAATAATCGAATATCTAATTTAAAGTTTAGATCACATGAAGAAAAATTTTACGATTGGATAATTAAGCTACACGAATAATATTTTTAAGGAGTTAATTTTCGAAATTTGGTAATTATTCTGATATAGACTACTGGTTAGGATATTCACTTTAGAAGCAAAGTAACCCGGGTTCGAAACCAGTAAAGGAAGCTATTCTTTCTAGAGTACTGATCTTATATAGGATACGTGATAGCCATTTAAGAGATGAAATATCAGAATAAGGATAATTTTTTTTTTAGTTTGTTTATTGTTTTATTATTATTATTATATACTTATACTATATTTTTAGTTAGATATTTATGCCTAGTATGCATAAAATAAGTCTGGGCTCATAGACAGACATTTGTCTAATTGGCTGATATAAATTAATTGCTGGGTAACTTATTTATACAGTTTAAAGTACTTTTTGAAAACGTAACGTTTTACTACAGCACTAATAAAAAATTACTGCAAAAGTCATTTTTTACTTCGTAAGAACGTTTATATTCATCATGCAAAAATAATCAAAAATAATTAGTAACTACAAGAACTTCACTTAGAAGCAAATATTTTTACTATTTATTATAGTATTAGTTATATTAACTGTATATGT